ACAATTTTCCTTTAGGGGGAATCAGTTCCCTACTATGGGGGTATCGATTCCCTCATGTCATTCTGGAAATTTTTATTCGTTTGAAGGGGTATCGGTTCCCCTTGAATGGGTACCGATTCCCCTTGCCTATAAATCATATTTTTAGCTCGAAAATCACTTCATTTTCAGCTCAACACTTCATACTTTACTCCCTTTAATATTCCTAACTTTCATACATATACTTAAACTCATTTCTACTCCATAATCACTTCTTTAAACTCAAAATTCTATCATTTACATGGCATTCAAAAATCACACTAAATTTCCAACATGTTCTAAAGCCCATTCTATCATTTCATATCTCTTAATTTAACCCTTGACAAGTCAAATTAAACTTCAAAATCTATTAACTCCTTCTATTTCAAAAATTCACTTAAAAACTCATTTTTCTTAATTTCTCATAACTTGCTAATCTTTGAGTTTTAAGCCACCTAAAGCTTTCCTTAATCTTTCTTAACATCCCAAGAATCAAAACAAGCTTTAAAACGAAAGAATTAACCAACTGAAGACCCACTTACCTTATACAAGGCTTCACGGTGGAGAGAAGGAAGAAGAAGACTGAAGAATACTCTGGAGAAATTATCTCATTTCCCACGTTTTTATATCCCTTAAAAAAAGAATAAAAATCTTCTCTTAGAAAAAACCATAATACCCTTGTTATTTCCAAACTTTACCATTAAACCCAACATCAACTTTCTTCAATTAAATCCATGAACTTTTAACTTATTTCAAAATCGAGCATATAGCTTTTAAAATTTGCAATTTAGTCACTGACCCTAATTTGGGATGTTACACTACCCCTTCAGTACCGATGTTGTTCATCTAATTCATATGGTATCAATAGTGTTCTTCCAGTACTGATACTCTTGCCTAAAATTCACTTATTTCACTTCGAATTTGACCCAAAATTCACCTAAATCTCATACTTCTAACTCCATTCATATCCTTAAACTCATTAACACTTATCCCAACCAACTTACATAAATTAAATCCATTTTAACATCTAAAATTCTCCATAGAACACTTAAAACTAAAAATCATACCCAATCTTCAATCATGTTTCCAATCCTTTCTAATATTTCAAATACCTTAGTCAAACCTTTGACAAGTCAAATATGCCTTTAAAATCCAATTACTAATCAAATTTCATCAATTCCCTTAAAAACATATTTTACCAAATTACTATTAATTCCTCGATCCCAAAGTTTATAATCATCTTTAAGCTTTCTTAAGCTTCTATACCAACCCAAGATTCAAAACCAACTCAAAAATGAAAGAAACAACCAACTTTAAATCACTTACCTTAGCAATTGGAGCTCACGGTAGAATGAAGATGAGAAGATGAAGAGAGAACTCTCTAGGCTTTTCTTTACCTTTTCTATTTCCTGACATGTTATATTAACATAAAATGAATTTTAAATTCATTTTATGCCAAAAGACCATTTTACCCTTCAATTCTTTCATCTTTGATTATATATCCTAAACAAAAATTTTCAAATCAATCCTTGAACATTTCGATTTATCAAAATCAAGCCACTAAATTTTAAATCTTTACACTTTAGTCAATGACCCGATGTGTGAGATATTACAAAAACATATTTTTAAAAACACAATAATATCCTTCATCCAAACACTCCATATGAAATTCCCAGAACTGCATCCATAAGGACTTACCCTAATCTCATTGGGCGTAGGAGCCAACTAAGGGAGTATTTTGGGACCTTAGAGCCTATCCAATGGAGTATCTTGGGGTCTAAGAGTCTACCCAAGGATCACATTAGGTCCATAAGGAATTACCAGTTTGATCAGAGTTGAACATCAGAATTTGAAAATCGTACTTAGTTTCAAACAATACCAATAATATCAAAATCAAGAGCTAGATGTATCATGTATAACAAATCAAATATCAGAAATCATGTTTTTATTTCAAATAACATAGTCATATTTGTAATATAAAAAAGGATATCCATATGCATAAGGAACACACTAGAGGATCCAGATATTTTAGGAGGCTCTGGGTAATTATCGGGAAGGAAAATACTAACTTCTACCAATTGATCAAATTTTAGAGCCGAGATCCCTATTAAAAGGGGTTGCTTAATAACGAATCTGATCAAACATTTAGAAATTGATATTTCATGAATATTTAAGAATTTGGTGCATTAAGAACGTATACATGAACCTTTACATTAGAATCAGTGAAGATTTAGCTATAACAAAAGGGATTCAATTATTTAGACAATTAGAGGCATTTTTGACATTACGATTCATGAAGAATTCTTTGTAATTTAATCTAATAAGAGTAAAATGACAATTTGTAATATTCATGATTTATATAGAATTATTAAAACTTCGAGTCCAATTAAACTAATAGATCTCAACATTGCGATACTTGTTAATCATTCGGATTGAGATATTTCACGATTATTCACTTCTTAATACTGACTTCATTAGTTGAACTGAGCACCTTCAGAATCATCGTGGAACGGATTTTGAGGAACTTAACAAGTATTCTGGTGGTATTTAATTTATTTTTGTATTACAATAGTATCCAAAATTACCGACGTGCTTGGGTCATGCTCCAAACCTAAAGGATCGATACAACATTTAGGTTTATTGGTGTTTCTAGAATTTATCCAATGACATCCTAAATTTAGCTGACCCTATTCTCATATATAATGGGGGTAAGGGGGAGGTAGGGTAGTAGACTACCCCCAATGCTAGGTTGAGAGCAACTTCCGTGGAAGACCTCCGGCAATTATGAATTACCCACCGTGGGACTCGATCCCACTACCACAAGGTTAAGAGCCTTGCACTCTACCAACTAAGCTGGACGGGCAATTCAAAAAATTAGCTGACCCTATTCCCATATGTAATGGGATAAGGAGGAGGTAGGATAGTAGGCTGCCCCCAACGTCAGGTTGAGAGAAGCTTCCGTGGGAGACCTCCGGCAGTCAGAATTATGAATTGCCCATCTGGGACTCGATACTCAATGTTACTTTTAGTCATTTTAGAACTCCATGGTAATTTGGGCATTTCAATCAATATCAACCATACAGAGTACTTTCGACAAATTGGTCTTTAGATTTTTTTCCTAGGCTGATAGGAGAGGGTTAAATCCACGTTTAGGTCCCTAAACTTTAAAAATTTCAAAATCTACCCTAAAATCCTCAAAAACTTATAAATTAGTCCTCAAAATCAAGTTAATTAATTGCTTATAGCTAGGGTGTGACAAATAATCAGATTATTATATTTTAAATGGAAAATAGTAGTATTACATGTAATAATCATGAAAAACCCATATAATTAAGTTAAAATCGAGTCAATTGCTTGAAATCAATCAAATCATGTGTAATATAAAATCTAGTCATTTATGGTGGCCAATAAACCACAAATTTTATCATAGGATTCATCTCAATTTCCTCATTTGATTAATCAAATTTTGTTCATAATAATTTATCTCAAAAGTTATGGGTTCACCCTCAAAATATCTAAATTTCTTGAACCCTAATCTATATCATACATCATAAGATGACGTTACAACATGTATTCTTTTTCTCAGCAGTGTAAGGTACTCAATTGTTTAGATCGTTGAATGGAATCCTCGATCTTTAAGAATTCCAAAACTCAAATAATCTATTTGTAACAAGACTAATTAAATTACTTTCTTATAATATTTAAAATATGGTGACCTATATGTAAATTTACTAATAATAGGGTGACCTAAGATATAATTTACCCAACAAATTAATTGAAAATGTGACACCTTTAAATGTCTATATTGGGATTTAAATGGTACAATGATTTACTTGTTGCAATCAATTAATCTAAATCATTTAATTGTATGTTTTTAAAATACGTTGATTCGTTTATAAATTTACTAATAATTGAGTGACACGTGATCTAATCGTTTTTTTAACGATGAAAGCCAAAGGGACGATAGCCATGATTTTCCTCTTTCTTTTTCTTCTAATATTCCTTTCATCTCCCTCAAAAAAAAAAATATTCCTCCATCAACATTAACCTCACTCTCATTTCAAATTGATAAGCCTTGGAACTGTTCCAGACGACAGACAAAGGTATCAATCTGTACACCATCTGCATCAACCCTGTACCACTCAAAACCATCAAAATTGTACCTGTACAAATACCGGCCGCCATAATTTCCGGGATGTCAAAACTCGAGCCGTTTGATATAGCCACAGCGACAATCGATTTCATGGGCTTGACAGGCATTGGAACACCAGATATGGTAGTGGTGACAATGTTGTAAACAACAGTGAATATCAATGTGGTGCCTAAGTTAAGGTCCTTGGCTAGTGTCAAGGCCAATACAATAGGAATACAGGTGCCCAAGTCTCCCATCATGGCATCATTCAATTCTGCCTAATTGGATTTAAAAGATAAGTTTCTTTTCGCTTTATGAACTCTATTGGCTAGTGGATGAGGTGTTTCGGCTTCAGTTTCAAAGTTCTGGGGGTTTTCAGAATCCATGGCTGTCAACTTATATCAGTGATGATGAAATGTGATTGAAATATAGGTGTCAACTAGGTCGTTGAGGGAAGATTTTGATCCTCCTTTAATAAATCGTTTTGAATGTGAAAAAATTGATGATAATATGTTATCGTAAAATAATGTCACATCATTATTGAAAAATAAAAAAAATTGTCACATAAGTAGTTCTGTTTATTTTTTAACATCGGATGATCAAAATAGAACCAAAACGTAACGTTAAGAATAATTTTGAAAAACAAAAGAATTGAGTGATAAAATGCAACTAAAGCGATAGTTTGATGACTAAATATGTAGTTTACCTTAATTAAAAAATATAATGACAATCCGAAACATTAAAAATATAAGGATTAATTATATAAAAAATTAAAGTACAGGCATTAATTATAAAGTTTGACCTATTAATCTTCTGTTCCCGGATAGGTAAGCCACCGGCTCACCACCTCGAGCGAAAGTAGAAAAGACAGCTTACACTGATCCAATTTTTTTCTCCCCAGTTACCTGATACAATAATCTTGTCTCACAGTCGCCATCCAGAGGTAGATTTATTGACTTGCAAAATCAGCTTCTCATATGCATGGTGTGTGTGTGTCGGTTTTAAAATTTCCCTGTTTCTGTTTTATAATTTATTTTTTCTTTCTAGTTTTTTGTTTTTTAATCCTTCTGTTGGGTTTTATGTTGTGGGTTCTTTGAAATTTTTCTTTCTGAATGATTTTCTAGGTGGGTTCTTTGAAAAATGGAAGTTTTTTTTGTTATATCTTGCTCATGGATTAAGTTAACGTGTCAAATACTCAAGCTGTGGTTTCTAATTTGTTTATTCTTTTTGTTGAATTTAGTGGAAGAAAGTAAAGCAATTGAAACTTGTTTCAAGGAGTGGAGGAAGCATGCAGGGTCATGAAACTAAGGTTGTGGCGAATTTCTTGCTCAACAATTGCTCATATCTTACCATTATTTATTGGCATTGTTCTGAAGCCATTTTCAGTTTGTAATTCGTTTTTTGTCTTGAATTTTATCTTTAATAGCTAGTTTAGTTGCTGTGTGAAACTGAAACACATCTCTGCCCATATTATCGATTTCGAAAGGAGTAATGATTTTCTTCTTCTGAGTCTAAATTTAGTATCAAGCTTCTAACTTGGGATGTTATCCTAGAAGGAAGATGCACTACTTTTTGACCTAAATGAGATGTTCAACGAGAAGCGTTCATGATTAGCTTTTATTGGTTGAGCCATAATTTAGATGGTAATATGGCTGTTTACTAAGTGGATTATTAGAAAACTATTGGGGTTATTATATATCCATATACTGTCTTTTATGAGTAGGCATACTACCTTTGTTAGTCTCAAGATTATGCTTTCCGTTGAATTAACTTTTTATTTGTCTATGTATATTATCTATTTAGATGGCAAGAATGGAGGATATCCTTAACCTGCTGGTGCAAGATCCTCCTTGCACAGAGTTCTCTGCTGCTCACCTAACATGGGTAAAAGTAGAAGGTGGTCGCCAAGGCGGTGATGACATTGCTCTAATCCCTTTTTCTAGAGTTGATGATTTTGTAAAAGGAGAGTCGTCTAATGAAGAATGTCCTGCTAACTTCCGCATTGAGTCAAGGAGAAAGAGATCTGAAGGAAGCATTACCAAACCAAGGGTTGATGGATATCTTGAGTATACGCTGTATGATGCAAATTGAACTCCATTTAGTGAACAGGACTGCTTGATTTTATGTTCCTTTGAAATAACTTACTGATAATACCCATGAGAGAAAAAAAAAGGATGAGGAAAATCTGATAGCTATCAACAGCTACTTAAACGTGATTCTCTTTTTCAGGATGTCTTCACTGTATACTGTATATCGTTGAAGTAATTTTACAGCTTAGCTGGTCAAATTTTGTGCCACTTTAACTATATACTATGTGTTTTTCTTTCCCCTTTTTAAAACTCTTTGTCTAATGAAAAGTGGTTTATGTATGATACTTCTTGATTTGTTGTTATGATAGTAGTTTTTCGAAGTAGTCTTCAATTTTCATCATAAAATGCAGCAGATGCGCAAGACATATTCTTATCTATGTGGAGTGTGAATATTTTCATTTAAGGCTAGCCATCTTAATCATGTTTGCTAAATTTTTTGTAGGAACATTATTGTAGTGCATTATGTTTATATGAGCATGTGTGTCTGTGCAAGTACGTTTTACCACGTATTTTCCTGCAGTAATGCTATTTTATATGCTAATAGCTCATCTTTATGTGCATCAAGTAACATCAAAGCTAGTCTGGTCTGGTGATTTTGCAGATACTGGTGTTCTTATGGTCCTGAAGATTACCGTGATTGTGAATCTGGTCTTGGAGATGGCTCAAACTTCAAACCCGCGACGGGAAAGGGAAGCAGGCCAGGGAGACGCCACATGATGCGAGGTTGCCTTTGCCACTTCACTGTAAAACGCTTGTACACACGCCCTCTCCTTGCCCTTATAATTTACAATCAAAGAAAGCATGTAGATAAAACAGGGGCCCCTTGTCATGGGATACTTGATCAGGATGCTGTGGGGACGAGAGCTATGTATGCTCCACGAATCTCAGAGGAATTGCGCCAGAAAGTGATGTCCATGCTTTATGTTGGAATATCTTTGGACAACATAATTCAGCATCATGCGGAGGTGGTCCAAGGGCATGGAGGCCCACACAACCGAGATGATTTTCTCACACGAAATGATGTTCGTAACATGGAGAGAGTTATTCGTAATACATCACATGAACTTCACATTGATGATGCATGCAGTGTAAAGATATGGGTACAAAGGCATCAAAAGCACGTTTTCTACTTCCAAGATGCTTCTGCTTCAGAACCCTTTATTTTGGGGATACAGACAGATTGGCAGCTGCAGCAGATGCTTTGCCATGGACATAATGGTTCTATCGCTTCTCATTCTACCTTTGGCTCAAAGAAACTTAAGGTATTCTTTTGTATATACTTTATACACGTGTATGTGTGTGTTTAAAGACAATGATTCAAATATGCTTGCCAGTCTGAAACAGAAGTGAGCTTTTAAGAAAAGAAGAGAGAGATCATAGCTCCATGGATTTCCTTATGTTTTACACCTAGGGTTATTTATACCAAATGACAAATATCACATAACAGCTGGTAAAATTGTCATAAGCTGTTTCTGGTGTGGTTTAGAGAGAAAACAGCTATTGAAAGAAATTAGGCTGAAAAACGTGTAAGATACAAGTTAGAACTCTTGAGAATGTACGGTTGTAAAAACCTCAAGTTCCATTTACTTGAGAGAAAATAGTAATATTGTTGGCTGTAAAGATAGTTTGCAGCTTATCTATACTAGTTATCTATTTGTGTAATAACTAATATAAATAAAACTAAAATATCAAAATAGAATAAATAATAGTAAAGATCATGTGTTAAATAAGCGTATGTGCATGACAGGAGTATGCTCAGATTTTTCCTAGATTTTCCACATATATGGAGGGACAAAGCTCATACCTGTGTCCAGAAGTAAAATACCTAAAGAGAAACAAACTGTGGTAGAAACATAGGCTTAAACTTAAGGATGCATGGAGTCTCTTCTGTTTTCAAATTTTGAGCTCAATTATCTTTATTGTAGTTTGAAATAATTAGGACCTTACACTGGATGAGAATTACCTTTATTGACAGTATCCTCTATGCACTTTACTTGTGTTTGACTCATCCCGAAATGCAATACCTGTTGCTTGGGTGATTACCTCCTCTTTGGCTGGTCAAGATATTCATAAATGGGTGGGCTCCCTTGCTGAGAGAATAAGGGCGAAGGACTCTAGATGGAGACTCAATGTCTTTTTATTAGATGATCCTTCTTTTGGGTTTTCAGTCGTAAGGTAAATACTGATATGGCGTTTCTAAAGTATTTGAATAATTTTTAATTTATAGGAGGAATGTGAAATCTAAGTTGCTTACCTGCAGAGATGCTTTCCAGTGTCGGGTCCTATTGTGTGCCTGGCATGTTCGCCGTGCTTGGATAAGGAATCTTTTAAAGAAGTGCTACGACACTGACGTTCAACAAGAGATCTTTAAGCGTTTGGGCTGGATATTGCATTCCTCAAGAAGTGTACCTAATGCAATTGATGCAGTTGAAGAATTCATGGAAGTATTTGTTGATCAATCTGCTTTTCTGGATTATTTCAAGTGCCGTTGGTCACCATACATAAGTGAGTCTCAATTGGTTGTTAGCTTTTATTCGGTTGCAATTCTCTTTTCTGCTGCTTATTCATGAATATCAAACTATGTTGTTTCCAGGAATACTATTGTATTTGTACCACAATAATTAATCATAGCCATGTCTTTAATTGCTGATAAAATTAACATGATGTGTAATATTTTCTAGTTTCTGAAAACATATTTTTTGTCTTGCAGAGTCATGGGTTAGTTGCATAAGGTCACTTCCCGTTGCCGGTCCAGAGCCCCATGCTGCCATTGAATCTTATCACAGAAGACTGAAGCACAAGCTTTTTAATGATCAACATGCCAATTTCTGGTCTAGAACCGACTGGTTAATCCATACTTTGACTACTGAATTTCACTCCTTATATTGGTTAGATCAATACACCGCAGAAACCGGATATCTTTCCAATGTCAGAGATGAATCTTTCTCGAGCAATGCTTGGTATCACGCCTTACACATACCAGACATCGATGTGATATTGGATGAGCAGAATCTCCAGCTTGCAAAGGTCATCTCCCAAACAGACCGAAACCTGGCGTATACAATTTGGAATCCTGGTTCAGAATTTTCTCTGTGTGATTGCCGCTGGTCATGCCTGGGAAATCTCTGTAAGCATGTCATCAAAGTGGCAATGATATACAAAAATAGGCAGGTTGCAAGGCCGCTATTAGCAGCTCAAGTTTATAGACAAACCTTGATTAGTCTTCTGCATAATCCTCCAGATGATCCGGTAGTACTCGACCATGCGATCCTGTGTGCAACTCGGTTGCAACAGGATATCAAAGGCTGGGAAGACTTGTCTAACAGTGGGCTACTTCAGCAATTTCCTCCTGAAGTTCTCTCAAATGGCGGATAATAGTACCCTTTTGGCACGTCCTTATTGATTACAGCAAATGAAAATCAATTTATTGAAACCAACACTTTCAATGAGGTTGTAAAATCATATGTTGTCTTCTGACAATCTAGCTTCTGATTCAGCTAAAATTTATATAACCATGCTTTGAAAAGCAAATATAAAATTTTAAATCCATGACATCTCATGTACGTTATCTTCTGGCATTCTAGCTTCTGATTCAGCTAAAATGTATATAACCATGCTAAAATGTAACCACCAAATATTTCAAGAAACAGAAAAAAAAATATGAAGATTTATAATTGGACTTGTTTAAGAGTCGGATATTGAATATAATTTTATCTGATCCGGGTCGGTCCAATCCGATTCTTAAACAAGTGTATACAACACAATATTACAAACAAGTAACAAAACATTACAAACAAGTGATCGTAGGAATCTCTTCTTTGTATTTCTAAACGGTCTGATCTTCAAGTTCAGGATATTCAGGGATAATCTTTTTCCAGAACCAATGTTTTCTCCACAGAAATATCATTTCTTCAATGGGAACTCCCTTGGTTTCAGGCAAGAAAAAGAAAATGAAGACGGTCATTACGGTGATCCATCCGGCGAAGAACAAGAAGATCCCGAACTTGAAATGACAAAACATTGCGAGGAAACACTGAGCTATGATGAAAGTAAAGAGAAGATTAACAGCAACCGTGATGTCTTGCCCTGCAGACCTTGTTTCCAGTGGGAATATCTCACTCGGTACGGTCCACCCTAATGGTCTCCATGACCAACCAAATGCTAAAACAAAGAGGCATATTACAGTCACAACCAATATTTAGTAGCCTTTTGATAGTTCTTGGTTGTTCCCAAATTTCAACCCCAAGATTACGGCAACTATAACCTGACATATAATCATTTGTATTCCCCCGCTAATGAGTAAGACTCGTCGACCCAATCGATCAACCAAGGCGATGGAAATGAATGTAGATCCAGCAAGAACTGCTCCAGTGAGAGCTGAAGAGTAGAGTGAAGCGTTTCCTCCGAATCCCATGCTTTGGAGGCTTAGAATTAGGGTGGCGGAGAAGTGTTACTTTAATTTAGGTTTTAACCATTTTAACTTTATTCCTTATTGCAGCTTGATATCGCTGACTTCTGTTTCTGTTTATCATTCTCTTCATGTTTTCTCTTTTAAATTTAGCCGGGACTTACGTTTCTGTCTATAAGCAGAGATTTTCACGTAGGAATTTATTTGCAGTGATTACTTCAAATTACAGACGCGCATATGAAGACAGCGTATGAAAATTGTTCAACTATTTCAACTATGTATTTATTGACTTATTTATCCATGCATTGTATTTTATCTTTATTTTTAATTTTCTTACTGTCGGAGGTCTTCTACGGAAGCTGCTCTCAACCTGACGTTGGGGCAACCTACTACCCCACCTCCCCTTACCCCCATTACATATGGGAATAAGATTTTGTTATTGTTGCTAGCTTCTACCATATCTTCAAACTCGGCATCAACGTTATCGGTGCCTCTAATCCTCTCGAGGACATTTCGGCCTCGCCCTTTCGATCCCCTTTCGATTAAGCTGTTTGGTGTCTCGGGAAGAAGGCACCCTCCCACCGTCGTTAGAAGGGCTGGTATTGCTGCTAGGCCTAGAGACAGCCTCCATCCCCATGGTTCGAGCTTTTGTGTCCCGAAATTTACCATGTTCGCCGTAATTTACCAGTAACAACAAATGGCACACTAATGAATTCTTCACTTGCCCAATTACGTCTTCAACATGCCATTTTTCTGTGTTTGGAGGAAGCTTCTTCAATAATGAACGAACCAGAATGAAGAAAGGAATCCGACAGTTCCGGTTGCAAACATGATCGCAAGAACCATGAAGAGAGAATACCCCAAGTACAGAGTAGCAGAGACAGGTCCACTCAGGCTCTTAAGATCAAACATGAGTTAGTTCACGGAGTAGAAGAAGATGTAGATGGAGAATGAACCGGATGCAAAGAACGATTTCCACCACCATTTCCAGTCCTCCACGCAGAGATGCATGCAAGTTAACACCAAAGATTCTTCGGCGCAAACCACCACGAGTAAGATCAGAACGATGAACAGAAACCTGAAGACGTAGTAAACTCGTCCCATCCAGATGCTAGACATGATGGAGAAAAGCTCGATGAAAAGGGTAGAGTCCCGGCACCAAGAACTAGCAGCCAGGATGGGTATTTTTGAGCCGAAATTTCCCAGGGGATCTGGTTGGTTCGAACAGGGTATTCGATATGAGGTGCCTTAGCCCCAAAGTATCCACAGAGGAAGCGAGATACAGAACCAAAGTAAAAGTAGAATAACATAGAGAGAAAATGGAATAGCTCATGTGTAGTGACTTCCCCACAACAGGAAATTCTAAAACTCTCATATTGTTAATGTTCCCCCTCTAACAATAATCACCTAAAGCTAAATTATAATCGATGAAAATAATGGGAATAATACAGCATTTTAAGAAATTAACATAGGTTCCAACGTGCATCATTTTTCAAAATTAATCAGCGGAATCAATCAACACAATTAATTTACCTTTCTTGCATCAAAAGACTTCCGAACCACTGAGAAAGCTTCTTCTGGCAACATGGAAGCAACCTGAAATAAACCAAAATAAGAAAATAAAAAGAGAAAAATTAAAAGAAATATATATATATATATATATATATATATATATATATATATATATAAGCTTAAAGAGGAGAATTAACTGGAAACTTGATGGCTTTAACGATTTCTTGGAGCAAACCAAATGGACTTGGAGAAAGTCTTTTCCTGGGTCGTTTTGGACAGGAACAGCAAGCTTTGAGAACCTCCAGATTCCTTCGAACTTGTTGGTGACGAGGGATAGAGCTTCCTTTTGCTTCAGTTTCAGTTTCTTCTTCTCTGAAGGGTATCTCTGCTTGCCGGTTCTCTTGGCGCAGAGGATTCGGACTGTTTGGTAACTAGGATGGAGGCGTCGTGGAACTGAATAGGGGTGAAGGGAGTTGGAGTAAGGGTGGTGGAAAGGGAAGAGATGTTTGAACGGACATTGAAGCAGAGACGACATAGAGAGAGCAACCATTCGAAGTGCCACCTTCAGATAAGAAAGCTTTATTAAAATTCTCTTTGTATACTATGAAAAAATAAATATTTTTATTAATATTGTAATAAAGGGTACACAAATGATTCTCCCACTATAGAGTACTGTTTAATTTAAATACCTTAACTATTAAAAATTATAAAATGATTCTCTAACTATAAAGTGTAACTTTGTTGAGTCCCTCGACTTTTAAAAGTTACAAAATGGTCATCCCAACTATTCATTATGTTTCAAACTCTTCTTTTTTCGTTAAAAAATGACTATCATCTGAGATGAACGTTAACATGATGATTGAGATATGATAGTCGTTTAAGATTCTGAGATTGAATTTTATCATATCACAATTAACATGTTAACATTCAACTTAGATGGAAGTCAATTTTTTTAAAGGAAAAGGTTGATTTTGGAACATAATAAACAGTTGGGTGACCGTTTTGTAACTTTTAATAGTTGATACTCGAGGGACTCAACAAAGCAACACTCTATAATCAGAGGACTATTTTGTAACTTTTAATAGTCGGGTGACTAAACAAAACATCATCCTATAGTCGGGAGACCATTTGAATACTTTACCCTTTAATAAATATGATGGAGTGTAATTTATAAAAAAAATAGTAATAAATGTTTTGTAATGTAAAAAGAAAATCTATTTCATGTATATGTTTTAGAATGAAAAAAAAATTACTAGTATAATTCTATTGTTATCATGCATCTCATTTATAATTTAAGATTATAGATTTTAGGGTTCAAGTTTTATAGTTGTATTGCAAGGATCATATAGTGTGGGTGTGGGAAGGCGCGTCCACAAGTTCCTTCCGGTATATTCTACTCTTAATCTGCTACTAATATCACAGCTTTATATATTCTGTAACTTGCTATGCAATGGAGAGACTCCAAAATGATGAAAATGAAAAAGAGAGATGAAGCTTCATCCTAACAAATAACAATCTCCAATTTTGCAGGTCCTGATCTTGATGATCGCATCGTGCCGCTCAAGAAGAGTTGTCCATTATGAGATGGTGCACCCGAATACGGTCCAGATAGAGAGTGTCATGATCCTGAAGAAAATGCTGTTCTTTCATGGGGTCGTGTTTTTCATAGCCAGGGCTTACGACTGACAATAGCCAGTGTTTGTAGTTTGCTAAATATGATAAGAACAGAGAACTTGCATTGCACAGAAAAAAAATACAATTTTCATATTAAAATAGAACAACCAGCTTAATACAACAAACGATTTTGTTAAAACACCTAAGACTTTTACATAGGCTTTACAAAAATTCTTCTGATGAAGAATTTTCCAAATCCAGATAAATCCCATTGTCCAAGCATCCCTCCTCATAAATTTGATACGATAGCCATCCATCATATTTCCTGCTAACATGAGGGAGATCGTGAAACTCTGTATTTATCATTTCATGCAGTCGATAAACAAGAAAGCTATCTTATTAGCTTTTTCTCTCAATCTTCTGAAATGTTAAACAAGAACTTCGGGAGTGATGCAATTCGGGGAAGATGAAGCAACAAGTCCCCAAATGAGTCCTTCCTTGGCATTCCCAGTGCCTGCTTGCTACTAGAGACTTCTGTATCCCCTTCACAATCCTTCGCCTCACTCTTAACTGTTTTGTTTAGCTGGAAATCTCTTGCATCAAGCCGATCACAATTTTCCCCTTTAGCCGGTGAATTTGTGCCTGTTGTACCATCCTTTTGCAAAAGACAACAGAGAGAATTGACCCTTGACATGAGGGAATTCTCATCAGAGGCTGTTATAAATCGAGTGTCACTGAAAAGGTACTGTGCAATTTCCTCTAGCATTTCCTGGCTCTCTGGTCTATTTTCAGAGGATGGATTTCCAAAGGTCTTCTGTTCCGAAAGACACTGTTCAATATGGTTCATAAGATCATTCATGGACATAGATGGGTGAAGTCCAGGCACTTTTATCTGGTCCCAATTCCTTGCCCGTTTTGAACCCACTGCTTCACAAGCTCCACTTCCTTCAGTGGCACGAGAGTCCATCACTAATGTGAAATGAGAGATTATTTGACATGGAAGAAAAGGAAGTAGTTTTTTTCCTAGAAAAATGATGTGGAAGATCCATCTTTCTATTCAGCTAATAAGTTCAAACCCATGAAAGAAGGAATTGCATAATCGCAAATACTAAACCCACAAGACACTGAACAAATCAAATAGTATGTATATGCAGAATTCGTTATATACATATATTTACACTGCTGTCTATATCAGCCCCCATCACAATTAGAAAAAGATTTATCATTTCAAGAGTGTATAACAACTATGCAGTATTGTTCAGATCAAATGTATTCAACTTCCTAAAAGATCACATAAAACACCATATTAGGGATCAGACTTCAAAGAGTAAAAAGAGAATCCAAAAGACTACATGACTTCAGAACATTAACCATGAGCACATAAAAAACAACCTACAAGTTTCTGATTATACCTGAACTGGGGGATCGGGCTTCCCTGTACATAGCTTCCGAGGTTATACCAGCAGAATCCCCTTTCTCAATCTCCAAAGAAAAAGATTGAGCTGCAGATGGTGTTGCTATAGTCTGGAAGCCAGAGGTAGTAGATCCTTTACTGGTATCTAACGCCAAATTCCGAGACTCAAAATATGGTGAATCCAAAACTATCTCTGGTTGTCCGCTTAAACAGTTTAAACGCGTGTCACACTGGATGAGCTTCTCAAAATGTTTGTTTAACAACCCTTGGGGGCACTGCAAAAAGTGTTGTCTGAACAGCCAAAATATAAATTTTCCATTGATATATTAGCCGAATAACTATATACACACAACTGAGATAAACTGCAATATATAGTTTTTATTTCCACAAATAAGAATTAGATTCATATCACTTCTACCTATGCATGCTAGCTTGGCCATCAGTAAAATCTGAAGTTGCCTGCCATAAGGTGTGTTTTCTAGGCTGCGGATTAGACTCCCGGAAGAAAAGGGGCTGTCTTGCCAGCTGCATCATTAAAAAAAAAAACAACCAAGGTCACACGTATTCATTAAGAGAGAGAGAGAGAGAGAGAGAGAGAGAGAGAGAGAGACGATCATAAGAAAAACAAGAAAGTTTACCACAACATTTAAAGTCCCTGGTCCATCATCGGGGCATTTTGCTTTAATTGCCATGATATCCGACCACTGTATTTCAATCTTACTCTTAAGCGCACCTTCCAATACCTCCCAAACAAGCTTGTGCTTTGCAAAATAACACTTGGCCACTAAATCACCTTCATGCCTCGACTTATACTGCAAATCATCAAGCAAACAATCCTTCAGCTACTTGACCTCAAAATACATGCATTTTGTAAAACAAATAAAACAAAACTCGTCAAAAAAAAAAAAAACTTAACCTCCCAATTGCCGATTCGAAGAATGGAAGCTGGAAAGTTTGAGGCTTTAAGCTTATCAGCAGCATGTTTAGCCTCCTTTTTTACTCCAGAGCTCAGGACTTCAGCTTGGGCAGCTGAGCCACTGGTTTGGGATAGAGAAAGGCGCATTTGGATCAAATCCAAAAGTGAATGACTCTTCCTTAGCGTCAAGCCAAGTGGACTTGGCTCATCCAACGGATTAAATCGCGATGACGGGATCGGATAAACATTAGCTTCCAAATTCCACTGGCCAAAAAAATCTTTGAAATTTTAAAACCTCTGGCATAACTACATAAGCTTCTTATTTCCCTAAATAGTTGAGATCCTTAAAATTACGTAATTTTGTTTCATTAAAAAGAGGAAAACAAAATTGAAAGATAAATTACATATTGAAGATATGGAGATGGTTTTGATCTTTTGCTAAGAGGGCCATGTTCTTCCTCGAGAGAATCCTCCAAGATCTCCAATTTCACCGGCTCCTTTTCCGGGAGCGCCGTCGTTTGCGGCTCTGGCCTAAGATTTCCTGATCTCATTAACTGAACCGTTCAATCAAATAGAAAAACTCGATTTCCAAGCCCAAAATTTGCGTAAGAATCCTTTTTTCTTCTTTTTCCTCTCTGAAGAAAACTGAAGCTAAGACTAAAAAGAGAACAGATTTAGGAGATTCTGAAAACCCTAGAAATTTGATTTCGGAACCACGTCTGTTTTTCTGACGGCGGGCACGTGCGAGATCTCGTGTTTTCTGAGCCATCGAATGTGCGATAAATTATGAGTTTACTTGAATACCCTTGTTTTGTGGCAATGCTTGCGACTTAGATCGGAGGTTATTTTTGTCATTCTGTCGAAAACTAGAGCATGACCTGGCGGAATCGAAAACACAGTAATGGATAAGTGCGGAGCCCAGTAGTTAGGTTTCTTTTAAATGACGGCGCTGTTTGTCTTTATCGACACGTGTCGAGAAGTTAGCGGTAGCTTCTACCATACGGAGTGCGGTCTTTCAAGTTGGCTGACCGACTCTTGAAGTAGATGGATTGGATTATATCAACTTTTGGATATTTTCCAAACTCATGTTAACAATAGGCTAATTAATGTATATTTTATCCCAACTTGATTTGAGGCATCTATATTTTATCCATAAGCACTAAAAATAAAAAAAGTAATTTTTTAATGAAAATTTGTAATTATATTTCATCTAATGAAATATTTAAGTGTTTAAAAGATTCTAAACGTTTTTAATTTTTTGAATAGTTAAATTTAATGTATTTGATCGTGATTTGATGATGATAATTTGGTGTGTTTGATCATGATCTAATTATATCTTAAATTTTGACATTCAATTCAGATAAAGATAATGATTGGATGTATTTATATTTATATTTATATTTATATTTATATTTATATTTATATTTATATTTATATTTATATTTATATTTATATTTATATTTATATTTATATTTATATTTATATTTATATTTATATTATATTTATATTTATATTTATTTTATTTATGTTTATGTTTGGATTTGACGTTGCATCGACTAATCCATATGATATTTATATGTTATTTTGTTAATCTTTCTTGTTTTAGACCCTTAGATTGAACTTTGATACACGGTTTATCTTTATAGATAATTTTCTCATGAGGCTTGATTTTGATTTGTTGTTGTCAGTGGTCTTTCAATAATTTAATGCAGTCAAATTTATTTTTATTTATGTTTTGTTTGAGTCTTTTTTATGTATATAACATTTTCTCTACATTATCCTTATATGATCTTAAGGGACTTATTTATTATTACAATGAAAACATTATAATTGTATATTTAATTAGAAAAACTTCGTTGTAATTTTAAATATTTTTAATAAAACCAACAATTCTATTTGCATAAAAAAACAATCGCCATGTATGTTAGAAAGTATGAATTTAAAAAGTTTAATTAAAAATTTAAGAATATAAAATTAAATTATTAATAAAAATATAAAAAAAACTCAATTATATACAAATTTTAAATTTTTAAAATTACAATCATATTCTTCAACTAAGGAGGCCACACGCTACAATTTCTTGGATTTTGTATCGTACTCACTCCAATTGGGTCGAGATGGATATAAGTTTAGTGAGTAGTGGGCGGGTGTGGATGTAAAAAGGCATACCCGTCGTGGGTAGTGAGTAAGTAATAGGTTTAAGACTTTACACGCTTTGCATCTGCCTACCCCGCATTCGTCCATCCCACATCCGCCCGCCCACTAATTACCCACCATATAAATTTTGGACCATTATGAATTTAGGTATAATTTCAAAGACTATTATATAAATCTTAAGATTTTATAGGACATGAATTATAGTTTAACCAAATGTTAAGGTATAAACTAAATCCATCCTTGGTATATTTTAGGCTTATATAACAAATAAATACTTAAAATATATCATCATTTTCATTTAAGTACCTAAAGTATTTTTTGATCAAAATAAGTACTCAAAGTTATCTTTTGATCAATATAGGTACTTAAAGTATTTTTTGGTCAAAATAGATACCTAAAGTATTCAATTTATTTTCATTCAAGTATTTAAAGTTTTTCATTCAAAGTATCTAAAGTATTATTTAATTAATGCCACATGTTAACTTTTTTAGAACTTAGATGAAAATATTGAATAGTTTAAATACCTATTTTGACATAAAATACTTTAGGTACTTATTTTGAGTAAAAATATAAATTTAGGTATTTATTTTGACCAAAGAATATTTTAGGTACTTAAATGAAAATTAAAATATACTTTATATACTTATTTAGGATATAAACCTTTATTTTATTATAATTATTAATGAATGTGTTTGTTTTATATTTTGTTGGTTATATAATTCGTAAGGTTTCTACCATACGAGTATAGACAAATATTGACAGATACGGAATGGATGGTGAGTATCTGATTGGGTGGTGGATATCTAATTGGTTAGTGGATGTGAAGTGGATTTAAAAATATACTCACGTGAGTGACTGTGAATTTAAAAATTTTAACTATAGTAAGTAATAAGTAGATAATATAAAAATATTAGTTAAATATAGAAACAAATGTTAATGATAATATTAGTTAAATAAGAAGTATCCCCACTTGTCTCCCCCATTTGTCATCGCTATTTTCAACACTCCTGAAATCATCCTATCTCGACACGTTTAACCTTTTTACAATGTTATCCGACGACAGCGTTGGTGATTTTAGAAGTCACGTTCTTCAAAAAAAAATTGTTCTTTTTTATTAATTTAATAGTGTTAATATTAAATACTAGAATAATATATAGAATACTAATTTAAACATATAACATAAAAGATCTAAAAAGTAGAAAAACCAAGCAAAGTGGGTTTTAATGGCCCAAATATATAAAATCAAAATGATTTGGAAATTAGATACAAGCCCAATAATCATTTAACCCTAACTGATAATCACTTAAAAAATGAAAAAATAACTTCAGTAACCGAAAATGCTTTATAATATACGATTTTAACCAATGTTTTTGGATTTGCGAAAATAACCAACAAATTCGCAACGCAAACTCCAGTTTCGCAACACAGTCTCCAAAATCGCAACGCAGTTCTCCAAAATCGCAACGCGGTTCTCCAAAATCGCAACGCGGTTCTCAAATTCGCAACGCGGTTCTCAAAAATCGCAACGCGGTTCTCCAAAATCGCAACGCGATTCTCCAAATTCGCAACGCGGTTCTCCAAAATCGCAACGCGGTTCTCAAATTCGCAACGCGGTTCTCCAAAATCGCAACGCGATTCTCTAAATTCGCAACGCGGTTCTCCAAAATCACAACGCGTTGCGAAAATAAACGCGCTTTGCGGATTTGACTTCTGTGTTGCGAATTACAAACTCACGTTGCGATTTACATATTCGTGTTGCGAATTTGGAAACTGATTTGCGAAATTAGAGTTCGCGTTGCGAATTTGTTGGTCATTTTCGCAAATCCAAAAAAAAATTGGTTAAAATCGTATATTATAAGGCATTTTCGGTCACTGAAGTTATTTTCTCCTTAAAAAATTTAATTAATATGAAATGAATACAAAATAATATCTATTCGAAAAACTCTTAATCATTTAATAATAAACGTTAATACACCCCTGCAAATGTCGTGCTTGGACTTCAAAAATAATAACAATATTTTGACTACTAAAGTTGCTCAATTCGTGCATCACTCAAAATTCGAACTATATAAAAATTACCATAAACATTTATTAATATGAAATAGATGAATTTCTGTGTCTACAAACAATACCCAATTCTCTTCTTTAAAAATGTAATTAGAACATATGAACTTCTGTGCCTACAAACAATACCCAATTCTCTTTATTAAAAATGTAATTAGGATAGAATGTTTAAGCTAAATCAGGGATAAAATTAAGATAAACAAATTATAGAACCAAACATAAATAATATCTCGTATTAGTGTTTATGGTTGTATTTGTGCCTACAAACAATACCCAATTCTCTTATCTTAATATTTTATGTTGAAGACTTTTCTCCCGGATTTTTGCATTTTTAAAATTCTTAAAAAAATGAAATTTTATTGTTCCATTCTCTGTTTTGCATGGTTTTGCCAACTGTATTCAAAATTATCATTGAAACACTTGAAGAATCCTAAGTTACTCTTAAGGTATTCGCCCCCTCCATCTTTCTTTTATTATCTATTCCTTGGTTTAAAACATATTAACAAATAAATACCACTAAACTACATAAACATTAATTCACAATGTCTTAGAAGCAAATAAACAATATTCTTCATCGAATTCAAGGGTGATACCAATGCATGGATGAGTTGCTGGAAAATTTTATGGATAGCAAATACATTGATGCATTACTTGTAAATCTCATTGTTGATGAGAATAAATGAGTTTATAACCGTTAAAGATTTACTTTTCTAATTTGGATAAAGAATTATAAGTCAATTTTAACATTTATAGTCTTAAAACTTACTCGTATTAATGGACCAAAACGATTAAATCTATAGTCCACACCAAGAGAGACACCGAAGGCAAAGAAAAAATAAAAGAAAAAATATAGAGTAAATGTTTGATTTCATTACTCAAAAGTGAAGAATGAATCTCATTTATCCCCCTAATATTTTTTTCTTAAAGGAGGTGGAGATGTCCTTTATTTATAGTTGAGTCGATCATTAAGATTAAGACATATATATACAATCCCTTATGTTAAAAAATTAAGTCAATCATATTTCATTTCATATATAAAAAAGTACATCAGATATAGATAAAAATAAAATAAAAATTGTATAGGTATTAAATCTAGAGTCTTCTCGACAAAACGAATGTCTATAGACTCTTCAGCATTCTCAAGAGAAGAATCAGTTTGGATGAATTTAAAAACCCATAAAGTAGCAAACAAAACAATCATCATATACCGAAGGCTTATTTTTGCCACTTTGTTTTATGCATGAAGGGCAAATACATTGACACATTACTAGGCAAATCTCCTAAAAAAACTTTGTTGCATTTGCTTACACATGTATATATATTCATATATTGTCGACATAAATTGATCCAATTGGTTGATTGAGCACTGATTAATATCCGGAAAAATATCAAATTTCGAGTTCAAATTTA